AAAAAAAAAAAAAAAAAAAAAAAAAAAAAAAAAGAGATGACAGCAAAAAAGCTGACGTGATAGTGTTGCAGTATTTGCTTACCAGGTTATTTAGTTTAGGATCATCGCACTCTATCTCTATGTATTTCTCTCTTACGTAAATTAAACAACTGAATTACATATTCGACTGCTGAAAAAAGATTAATGGTGAAAGAAGTTTCAGGGTAATACATGACTAAACTGTTTTCCCACTCGAAATTTCAAGTAAAAATTTCATCAGGCAGCTAAACGGAAGACAGTTTCTGAAAAAAATACTTCTGATGATCTAGTTGTGGTATGCTTTCCTGCTGCATTTAAAAAGAAATTCGGAATCACAACATACATATACACTTACTTAAACCCTTATTTTTCTACCTTTTTTCTAGACGCTAATTATTTTCTGGCTTGTTTTTTTTACTATTCAGGGTTATTTATGCATAAAATTCATATATACTTCCTGAAGAGATTGCATAAAAAATTAAACTACACAGGTTAACTTGTAACCAGAAAAAATATAACACACTGAATTATTAAAACATCCTAAACTATTGGCCATCGGTTTTTCTAGAACAGTCATATGCAAAACTTTTCCTGCTTTTTCCGTTTCTCAAAAAAACCTAAGAAAGTGAGATAACAACTTTTGTTTTTTTTTTGTCGTTGGTGTTGCTTTTTTCAATGGCTATGGAAAATTGTTGCGCAACAGTAAAAATGCAAAACATTAGAATAAGTTGAAAATTCCCGACATACTGAAACAGTGCCGTCAATGGTGAAAATAATCGTAATGATAGTAGTAGTGGTATCAAAATTTGCATTTATATTTATTTTTATACGGTTACTGCTACTGTTATTATTATTACAGCTATTATCATTACTATTACTATTATTGTTATTATCGTTAATATTATTATTATTATTGTTATTATTATTATGAGGATTAGAATTTAAATTAGGATTAATACTATTATTGTTACTATAATTATCATTAGTTGTAGTAGTAATATCATAAATATCATCATTTTTATTACTCGTTGTATTTTAAAATTAGTGAACAGAAAAGGAAAGATGAAGAAGCCGTTGAGCAGTAATTTCTGTTCATCTTCCCAACCGTATGCCCTCTTCATCACCAAGGACTGAAGAAAGAAAAACTTTGCTAAAAACTAAACAGAAAATAAACCGTACAGCAAACGTCGGCACCGTTTTCTTCTGTTCGGCTCTGCTGGGTAAAGCTGAGAATGATAATTTTTAAATCGTAGCTGAGCATTACAGATCTTGTTGAAAAGCCTTTTCAGCATTTTTTATCTCGCAACTGTTTCATTTTTAGAACTTTGAAATGACAACTAGACATAGGATATTCTTGATCTAAATCATTCAGTGTAGTCAAGGCCTCCCAACAAACAAGCGTTACTTAGAAAAAGCAGAAGTTTCCTTAGTTTCTGGAGAGCAAAAATTTTGCAGCGTATCAGAACGGGCAATAACCATTAAAAAAGTAAGAAGCTAGGCTAGTTGGTTTTGTCTTATTTTTTTTTTCTTATTGGTTTAAAAATTATAAGACAAAACCAGTTAGCCAAGTTTCTTATTTTTCTAACTAAAAAGACAACAAACAGTGACAGTTTTGTCTTTTTGATTAAGACAAAGTTGTAACTTTATCGTTCAGCAGAAAAAAAGCTAGAAAAGAATAGCGCATTACGCAGAAAGTTTTACTTTAATGGAACCTCCTTTTCACCACTAGTGCTTCGAGTTTCATGCCAAAAATAGAGCTGAATTTTGGTTTTTTGCTTTTTCTTTTTTGATGAAGAAAAGACAAGGAGTCCAAAAGGATCTGACGTTTGTGGCTTGCTTCTGAGATATTAAACGGTTAATCATTTTTTTACCAGAAAAGCTGAGAAGGGACGGGAGACACCCGTGGTTTATTGTTTTATTTGCGCTTTGGCGCGCTATTTTCCACCCTTTTGGTTGTGAACATCTGCTCTCTTATGCACCGCAGTGGGAGCTATAGACTTAGGGAAAAGACAAAGAGGGAAACGAAGAAAGAAGAACAAAGGAGAGGGAATAGTAAGGCATTTTTAAGGTTTCGGAATGGTAGTATCCAAAACAAATTTATTTTTTATTCTCCGCTGCAGTCCGCAACTGATTTTTTCAAACTCTGGTTGTGATCCGTGGAAGAATCCGAGGCTGTTCTACTTTGAATTTCTTCTGAAGTCGTTGCTGTTGACTTTTCTTCGTTTGACCACTTTCCCAGAACTAATTTTTTGCTATAAAATCAGAAATTCTAGTCAAGTAAAGAGGAACATAGTTGAAACTTCACTCTACTTTACATGAAGAAACTCAAAAGTACTGCTCAAAACAGCTGGTGTGTGTTACAAGGGCAAGGAAAAGAAAAGAGAAGCGTGGTGAAAACTTTGATCAAATTTTCTTAATTTTTGTTTTTTATCTTTATTTATTTATTTTGTTGATGCTGATAGAACAATAAGGCATAGCAAAAAAAATATGTGATTCCCAAGTGGTTCATCAAATATTCAAGTTGTCGAGGCAGTTTCGATGTAAATTTGCCGGCGTATGAGTGCTTGTGTCTGCGTCACTGGGTATTTACCAGCCTGAGCGGAAAATTTTGTCGACGTGTTTTTGAGTCAGTGTACCCGTATTTTTAGTCTTCGTATACTCATATACAGCTGTATATGTCTGTTTATCCGTAATTGTATGGGCCAGCAAATCCATTGCAATAAGAAGGAACAGAACAAAAAAAAATCAATGAAAAGAAATAAACTAAATTTCTTTTTTTTTCTAGAGCTTTTCTTTTTCTAATAACGTAAATAATAATATCTGAAGTAAACATTAAAAAATGGTGGCAAAAACTTAACACTACAATATATTCTAAAAGGTGTTAATTTTCCTTTGCAGTTCATTTGTCCCCCTTAGTTTTCACATTGCTTATCTTCGTCTTTATTAATCTGTCGACCTTTTTTCCTGTCGTAGCCTACTGTTCTAGATTCTTACTTTTTGCTTTACAAAAATTTGGTGATGAAATAGTTTGAGAAAATTCGTGGCCAAAAAATGTATCAAAAACATTTTCGCTAGCTTAAAAACAAGTAGTGGCAGTATGGCACTAGACACTTACTCCTGGCCTCTGGCAATGAAAGTCAGAAGGACTGATGAGGGAGAAGGGGAGACTTAAAGCTGTTAATTAGTACAAGCTCAGCAATGGTTGTTTTGCTGGCGAACCAGCTAAACTTCCAGAAAGATGGCTTTAGCCAGAAACTACTCGGGTA